TAAAAGAGTGTAGCAACAAGAGATATTTTCCCTGGCTAAAACTGTACTGTGAAATGAATGAGGCTAGGAAGCATAGCCATTGGTTTTTAAATGGGAGAACTATATTTTAGGAAAAAAAAGTGTAACTTTTAAATTTTGTAAATTTGGGATGTAAATTTTGGGAAGAAAGATAACATATTGCCTATTGATTGACAGATTCCTTGGAGGATAATGAAGAACAGAACTCTAGTGAATGTTGGCTCTGTTGAGAATATGTTTGCCACATCTTTCACGTGACTATTATGCATAGTATATATGTTTTTGAAAGTGGGAATTTCAAGCATAATTTGACTCAGTGTGTCTATAATGTAACTAAGTTTCAGTTATGAACACCAAGAAACTTGGTTCTTTCAGGCCCATGCACAGAATATGTAATTAGAAACAGGTTAGAGTATGTTTCTTTGCACAAATAATGAATGGTAAGTGCTTATGTGTGTATGAAAGGGAGAGAGAGTAATTTCAGATACAGCTTTTATTGAACACGGAATTCAGTTATGCTGAAATTCAGCCCCAGTTCATTATAAACAGAAATGATTAAAAATGCATAGATGCAAAGATAATTGTTGCTATTGTTATATTGTCCATGAGTGGGGATTGTTTTGCCATGGAATTGTTTTAATATCCATGAAACACATTAGGAAGTAATTGCCTCAAATAGTAGTATTGAGATGTCATTTAAATGCTTTAAAAAAAAAAACAACTAGATATATTTTTGGATTTTAGGTATATCGGTAGCTATCTGTCATGAACTCTTAAGTGAAGTTCTTTTAATGAATAATTCCAGTTGCTTGAGACAATAAACAATGAAGGATTATTGTTGCATTTGCGAGTTGCAGAAGGATATTTTGCTGGTCCCCATTTGAAGATAGGAATGCCGAACAGGATGTTGCATTATAATTGTTTTTATATCACTGTTTTATACTTTTTATTGTATGCTGCCCAGAGTCACTTTTTTGTGAGATGGGCAGCCATATAAATGTGATGAATGAATAAATGAATCACAGGCCGACTCCAATAGTACTGTTGTTGCCTCCATTTCCAGCAAGTGCACAAACACAGCTACAGTCCTCTGAAACAGGAAAATATAAATACAGATAAATACATGCATCAGCAATGCACTGTTGCTCATTTCTCATTGGAGCTGTTTAGACAAGATGAAAGAGAAATTTAGGAGGTTGGTGAAACTGAACTCCATGTCCAAGCATCTTTTCAAGAACAATATAGTACCCTCAAGATAAGTGGAATGTATTGTCGAAGGCTTTCATGGCCGGCATACGATGGCTGGTGTGGGTCTTCCGGGCTGTGTGGCGGTGTTCTGGAAGTTTTGTTTCCTAACGTTTCACCAGCACCTGTGATCGGCATCTTCAGAGTGCAGGAGCACAGACAGGAGCAGGTTTCTCTGTGGCCCCGGGGAGAAAAGCTCCCCTCTGTGGGCCCTCCCTCTGTAGAGGGCGGTTACAGGGGCTGGGGGAAAGTTAGGGAAAAAAA